TATATATATACACACACACATATTCCTTTAGAAATGTACCACTATTCATTTATAGTAATTAGTGACGACATTAATATTTTTTACATTTAGGATCTTTAGGATTTTTACTTAAGGATCTAATATTATGAAATTGTTTAGTTACCAAATTAACCAGGTATTGCAAACTCATATTGTTGATGTTTTGTATCATTATGTATAATTGTGTGTAGTCTAATTTTGTATTTTTATGAACTCAGCTTCTTCCAAATGTTCAGTAAGTGTTAAACTGCCATTGAACTTAATCAACTAGTGCATTTTATTATTTGTAATGGGGTGAGCTGTAAAAAAGGAAAAATTTGTCAGATTTTTCATAAAGGTTTTGTTGTTTTTAAATGGTGATTTTATTTCATTTTCTATTTTTAATACAAAAGTCACTTGATTTAAATGATTATAACCACAATTGGGTGATGAATCAGTTTTCTTTGAATTAATTTTGGTATAAATAGGGAAAATTGATTTTGATCTGAAAAAACTGAAAAACATCAGTGAAATTTGTTTTCCACATTTTTGCCACTCTGTTTACAAACCTCTTAATGCACCCATGATTATATCTCCTGGCACTTCTCTCAACAGTGCCAAATCGAGCCACATTTTTCTTCATTGTTGCTGAAACACACACAAAAAACGGTGTTGTGATGTACAATAAACAATGAGGTTTTAGCAAAATTGTTAAAATGCTTCAAAACAAGAATAATGTTGGAAATTGTGTAAATGTTGAGTTTTCAAAAAATGGGTGTTTGAAATGAAGTTGCGCTGGTAATTCTTTGAATTGAATTGAATTTGCCTTATTTTACGTGGCTCAGTTTTGAGTATTAGTTTTGATTCCTTTCGCTTCGATGTTTGATGTCATAACTCAATTTTGAACTTTTTATGGATATTAAGTTTTGAAAAAATTGTCCTCAATTGCTGGTTTCGTAGGCAAAAAAAGACTTGGAATGTGACATGCCTAGCTACTTGAAAACTACAGGTTTTAAAACTTTTAAAAATGTTTTTCTCAATAACTATGTCAAGGAAAATTTAAATACTTTTTTTTTTCTCCTGCTTTCCCAAATATTTTATACTTCCATTTTACACAAGTTCTCTATTTAAACCCTAGACATTTTGCCCTATTTCACAATAATATAAGACATACCACAACTTTAATTCATAGCTTTTCTGTGTGGTATAATTAAATATCATTAGGTCTTTCGGGCCAATGTGTTTATTTATAAAAATTTAGAAACATGCTATATAGTCATTTATAATTTGCCATGGAAGATATGTATTTTTATGTGAGTTATGAATTGCTTCCAGTTCTGTTTTTCTATTGTGCTTTCATTTCTACAGGTGATGCTAAATTCTGAACAAACAGAAAGCTTAGTGATAGAACCAACAGAAGCTCCAATACACTTTGTTCTGGAAGAGACAGGTGGTATGATATCAGAAGCCCTAGAAGTGGTTTCCTCTACTGTTTAGTAATAGCCTAATGTCTGTAGCTTATTGTCTGGATTAATGTCAAGTCTTTCAAAACATACAGTAGTATCCACTTCTGTACAATTTAAAACAAAATTTTGAAGCTCTGATGTATTTAATTTTGTTAATTTCCAATCTTGTTTCTGAATATAGGTCTAGGTTCACTTGAATATAGGTCTATTGTTACAATTTATACGGGTTGACACAATGAAATCCTTTTGTTAGTTTCATTTTAATATAATTGTAATCTTCTTTTATATCAAAATTTTTCATGAAAACTTCCCCAGATAGTGTTAATGGTTTTGTTACCTTAGAGTAAATGCTGGGGAAATAAAAACTGACACGTATTTTTCCCTAATCTATTACCCCATTGTAAAAAAGATATCAATGAGGGAAACCTCTTAAAAACACACCTCCCAACAATTCATTGATTACTGGAGTTTCAGTTAAATTTGCAAATGCAATTGTTGAAAACTTAGGTTTCTGAAGCAGTGAGAAATTGTTAAAGTTGGCTTGGTTTTGGGGGGTTTCTATGTATATACGGTTTCGCATTTACCTGTTAATCCTTTGTCTCTTGTAGGGGGAAATCTGCAAAGCTAGATGTTTTCTCAGCATAGTTGACCGTTTTTTAGTTCATGCTCTCTCTCCCACTTTGGTTCCCTCTCTCTCCTTTCTCACTTTGGCTCTCTCCACTCTCTCTCTCTCTCTCTCTCTCTCCACTCTTTTCACTCTCTCTCTCTCCACTCTTTTCACTCACTCTCTCTCCACTCTTTTCACTCAATCTCTCTCTCCGCTCTCTCTCCACTCTCTCCACTCCACTCTCTCCGCTCCACTCTCTCCACTCTCCGCTCCACTCTCTCCACTCTCCGCTCCACTCTCTCCGCTCTCTCCACTCTCTCCACTCTCTCTCTCCACTCTCTCTCTCTCCACTCTCTCTCTCTCTCTCATTCCTTTTTAGTATGGAAAATTGCATTAAGAGCATGTTATTTATATTTTGCTTTTGATACCAAAACTAGTTTTTGAGAATTGAGTTTAATAATCGGCATTTATTTGTGGTTGTAATAAAAAATGATATCAATAATAATTGCATGTTTATTACGCTTAATTGTCCAAAATTAGCTGGTACAAGGAAATTCAATGATAATTTGGTCAAAATGTAATAAATGGAACAGTTGTTCTTGTGTGCATGTAAATTGTGTGAATGTGGATGTACTTTACAATGATTTCTCAGTGTGAGATGCAGAAATTTACAGTTCCTCAAAGAAAAATCATGTTTCCAAAATTTATATTCAAATGGCAAATGTCGCTGGAATTTGTATTTGTCTCAATGATGCTACACAGATTTGATCTTCAGTCTTTACATGACCTTTCTTTTTTTTTCCTTCTCTCTGACTGTGGTGTTAGTTTTTATCAAACTTCTGATTGATGTAAATTTTTAAACGAAAGCTGGTATTATCCTGTAAAAAGTCTAGCACAATATTTAGATTTTAAAAAATACATTAATTTTCCTGGTATATCTATCACTTGTTTCCTCTTTTGCCAATCCCTTTGGTTTAGTAAAGCTGTAGAGAATAATAGATGATTTATTTATTTTTATTTTTTTTTAATTTAAATAATCATATAATATTTTTAACCAACCTGCAGTACTTTTTTAAGCTCGATGAATAAGCTTTGCTAGATTTCCCCCTTACTGTGTTGTTAAGCATCTAACACAGCTCACAATGAAAATATTTTAAACCGTCGATAATAACTGCACTGTAAAGACCTCATTAAATTAATGTCTGTGGAGGTTGGGGGGTGGGGAGTACTGTTGGTGCTAATTTATAATCGAGTTTTGATAAATATTATTGTTTAACAATTTTCATTTAAAGTGTATATTTTTGCTGTGATAAGTTTTTTAATGTTGTGTATTACATTACAATTCATTACTTTGTGTATCCCAAAAAATTAAAAAAAGTCTAAGCAATTAGGTATTTTGTGTTGTCTTTTAAACAAGAAAAGTGAGATAATAGATCTTAATCTTCGGATTAAAATAGTTTTGTCATGGTAAACATTTTCTTTAGATACGGATTTTAAATGATTTCATAGAACTTGGTCAATTGCTTTAATTTGAAGGACATTGAAATTAATGAGGTCTTTCAGTAACGTTAATGAAAAGATTTCCATCTTGTAATGTGTGCCTTGTTGCATATAATTATTTCATTTTTATTATGATATTCTTTATGTTTATCTTCATTTCAATGTTTTATGTTTAAATGACCAAAGAAGTTGTATTTTTCTTTTTGTGTGCATGATAATTTTATTTATTAATCTTTAATCTTTGTAGCTAAAGAATCAATAATATGATTTGATTTTAATCAACAATTTTTTCTCTTTGTTTACTTCCAGATGAACATGAGATGACTTTTACTGTTAAGTAATGTTTTTCATAGAGAAGCCAATTTGAAACAAGATGAATATAAGTACATCACAAATGAAGTTTCTGTGAATTGAAACTATGTAACGCTTTGTTTTCTTCTTTCTTTTATTTTTATCTTTAATAGATAATGAGTTGATTCTATATAGTATCATGTAAACTCATCTTATTTTTTTTTTTTTTTTTTTTATAAGAAATTGTACATATTTAAATTTAACACTTGTACATTGTATTACTTATTTATTCATTTCTAAAATAGTTGTTTATTTTAGTTTTAGATAAGATCTATGTTTTAGTTATAAATTAAGATATTTCACTTATTTTGTTAATATACTTTTACTGCAATTAATGCATTTTGTATTTCATTTTTATTTATTAGAACTTATTTATACTTATCTGCTGTTACTGCGAACACATTCAATGTTATTTAATTTTGAATGCATAGTTTGTCAATTCAAATTTTTTGCAAATTCTACTTCTACATACACACATGCATAAAGCATTTAAGTGCTGTGCATCTCTATGGAAAAAATATAGTCCATATTTGTTAAATTTTTCATTTGAGAATGCAGTTGATGAACTGAAGATGAGGCCAGGACTTTGGCTTAAGTTATCATCAGTGGTCATCAACCTTTGGCTTTCTCTGTTAAACAGTTCTTAATTGTATATTTCATTCATTTTAATCTAATGTGACTTAATTGTTTTTCATTGTTTAAATAGTATTTTTTGATTAATATTAATACTGTATATTCCTTCAACCTTTTTTCAATGTTTTTGCATTTCATGATTGCACTTTGGAACATATTCGGTTTGAATTTGGGTATAAAATTGAATTGTATGTACAAACACCGCTAATCTACAAAAGAAGTGGATTGCCCAAGTTTGGCTTAGGCCTAAGCATAATTAAGACAGCAATTGACATGCCTCAGTTCTCTTAGGTCTTCAAAAGTGGGGTGGGGGTGGGTGGGGATTGTTTCCTCAGAATGAACTGAATTTGCAAATAAGAAAATATATTTTTTGTGGTAATTGTTGTTTAGTACAAAATTACCATACTACCAATTATTAGACTATTAATTAATTATTTAACTGCAGCTCTTAATTATTTTACTCTGGTTATTATAATTAAGTCACCATATGTTGGCAGGAATGTTTAAATATCAAGGTATGCATTTACTAACAGTGTAATTAATAGGATGAGTAGCAAGGTAACAGTTTTCGGCTCCTTTTATCCCTACTTTGACATCTCTTTCATGTACATATTTCTGAAATTTTATATTACAATTTCAAGGATTTACCAGGGATCAGTCTTGGAGGTGTTCAGTTAACAACTATTAAGGTACTTTTCAGATATGATTTACTTACAGGGAATCGACATCAATTTTGCTTGTACTGTGTCATACCACCAACCTCATGGATTTTAAAAGTCAAGTATGGATTGATTTAGCCAACATAAGAACTAGTGTAATTTTGTGAGGATTACATGTAATACAAGTGAAAAGGTGTTGTATTTACAAATCATAAATTACTTGTCAGATGTGGTGACACTTTACTGTGCATGTTGAATTTCTTGACAAGGCTCTGGCTTTTGGCATAACATGATTAACTAAAATATATTAATTGAATGATTGATTTACCAGAATTTACAATTAATTTATTATTGTAGTGCAAGATAGAACCCCGAAAACCTCTAATATATTACGAATAGATGGCAATTACCCCAGTAGGTCTTCCAACTATTTGTAATTAATATTACAATAATTTCAATTTTGGAAGTAAGCTTCAGGAACTTATTGCGTTTGCCAGACAAATAAAATGATCTTGCAAACGGCAGCAGTACCACAAAAACTTGTAATGTGTTTCTTTATTCTCAGATACAGAGGAACAACAGTCCTATTGCTCCTTTCCCATTCAGTTGGTACAAGTGTTTTATTTTGATAGTTCTCTTGGGGGGGGGGGTTCAGGAGTTCAGAGGGTATTTCTAAAATTATAGAAAAATTTATGGAAAAATGTTTGATATGTGAGATATCACTATTATCTATTTGGGGGAGTCACGTCCCATGGCTAAATGTGCTCAGGACTTCAAATCACTCACTCTGTTTTTATCCTTTGTATAAATAATTATTATTTTACTTGAACTAGGCTAACATAGAAGTTGCTTAAAATAGAGAGAACTAATTGACTAAACTGTCATGTAAAAGAATTTTACAAATGTCTTATTCCAATTTTTTGCATGTAATTAAGTATTTCATGTAAGGTATATGTTACTTTCCCATTCAATTAAACCAGTGGTTTTATTTTGATATTTCTCTTGGAGGTTTTGGGTGAGCATTAATTTTGAATAATTTGTTAAAAAATTTGTTCCCATTTAAATCAATATTTTATTCTCTGATTTTGCATCTTACGAAAACTTCATATCTCAAAGTTTGTCTAACATTTAATTTTTTTTTCTTTTTTTTTTTTCTTTCTTTCTTTCTTTCTTTCTTTCTTTCTTTCTTTCTTTCTTTCTTTATTGAATGAAAACCTTACTACTCACTATCACCTTCACCTTGTGGTGTGTGAAAAACAGTTTACCTACTTCTGGTATGTGATAACCTTAAAGTAATAACTGACCCAGATAACTTAAATGTTTTTTTGTCTACTGTAAAATTGTGTAAAGGAAGTATGTAGAGATAACAGGTTTTCATGTGATGTGATGGGATCATCGTGCTTAGTTAAAATATAGAACGTTCAGATAATTTGAAGTCAGGATGTTATAAATTCAAATGATACAACATATCCTAAAATCTAATAAAACCCAGATTGTTAGTGTATGAAGGGGATCATGTATATACCTTGTTAATGATGACCGAATATGTGAAAAGGCAAGAAACTTTCATTGTTCACAAATGGTAAATATCAGAGAACTATCACATTTGCAACTTCTTTATTGTGTGGAAGCAAGAAGTGGTTTTCGGTGGAGGCCATAAGAATGTATCCAAATATCGTACTGCCAGATGTACTATGAACACGTAAAAACTGAGCACAAAATTTTCATTTTCCAGTCCCATTTTTTATTATCTTAGTAACAGCATTGATGAAATGCTTCCATTATGATAGGTTCCAAACATGATGGGTATGAAGGTAAGAGTCACAATATAATAAATTGATTTGAATTAATTTTGAAAATTAAATGTGTTTCCAGGTCCCAACTTATTGCAAATCATAAGATTCATTACTACATGAGAGAAAATCAAAACTTTGATTTCAATTTTTTTATTCAATCACACTTCAGAACGAGAATTTATTTTCTGTTTCACTCCGTTTTTTCTCAGATAAAAGTAAATCATCTTACGGAAAGAATTCGCAGAAAGGCAGAAAATGGTAAATACGTAAGATAGACTTTCCTCCGCTAAAAATTCCTTCAAGCCCTTTTAAAATCAAGAATAATGACTTAAAATGTTGAGATAGCAACCAGCATTAATATTTCCACAAGTTAATGAAATTTATGTTATGTTTGTAAATACATGCATCTCAGGAACCCGAAGAAATTTAACTATTTGATGATTAAGCAAATGTAGAGAATGATAGGAGATTCCTATAGTATACTTGTGTCATTTTCAGTACTAACTTGACTCGTCAGCTTATTCACCAGGATCATAAATACTGTTAGGATGATAATTTTTCTATACATTATTAAAATGAGATTTTGCCTTAGCCTTGTAATGTGCACTTACAAGATGACAACACCCATGCCCAACACCCTTTTGTAGAATTTCAACAAACTAAGGCAGTTACTACTGCTAAAGAACATGACCATAATTTTGAAAACGCATATCTAAAATATTGGATGGAGGTATATGGGTATTGTGTTTGTTATTGTCAGAACAAAACAAGATAAGGGGCAACATAGTATACAACTGTTGGCTGAACACCTCAAAGTGTTTTTTCTTTTTTCCCTATTATAATAAAAGTTCATTTGATCAAATATGCCAATTACTTTGTGTAATTTTCGGTTTAAGTTTTCCTCTACCATCTTTCTAATTTTGTATTATTAATTACACTTGTCGGTAATGCAAATTTTAACAATTTTTCAGAACACAAATGAGAATTTGTTGTATTTGCTAATTTGTCACAGCAAAATGAGTTAGCACATTTTGTTATTAAAACACAGTAAATAATGTTGGTTTATCTTGAACATACTTGTGAATAAATTGTGATAAATGCTGCTCGGTTAGCTTTGATGCACTGGTAGCATATCTCGTCTTGTGGCGTACCTGTGATTTTGGATATACCAAATTAACAATTTTTTTAAAATTTGAATTGGAAGCAAATTTTCTTCAAATTATAATTGTTAATTGTTATTTTCAGTGTAATTTGTAGTGTGCACATGTTCTAATGTACATTTTGTTTGAATTTATTTATATTAATGAATAACATACATTTATGTTTATTATTATTATTATTATTATTATAAACTATTGAGGTTTTCATCTACCTACAAGCTTTCTAATGCAGTATTTTTGCATGCATGAAGAATATAATTTTGAACATCAGTTTCACTTGTATAACCGTTATTTTTACTGTTTTTTCCCCGTTGTATCTCTCCATATAATTTGGTTTAGTGCAAAAATGACTTAAGTTTGTTTTTATGAAATTAGACTCATTTTAAATTGGTGTTGTTTTTATTGTTTTCTAATGTTGCTATTCTTTCTCTATGTATTGCATTTAATATAGATTGTCTATAATTTAGGAAACTCTTTAATTACAAAATGTTACAGTGAAAGTGTTGTATAAATGATTAAAGTGCTGACTTCAGTGTGCAGTGCATAGAGGGACAATCTCCATTAAACTGTAAAAACAAATTGTGTTCAGTTAAGACATCTTGCAATGTGAGTTGAACATTAAATGTTAAACTATAGTATTTAGGAGTGTAAATTCAGTGAAACTTACAAAAAAAAATTGACCAAAATTGTGATACATGATGGTGAAACATCATATCACAACTACACATATAGCGAGAGAGATTGCGTCTCTTTCAGTGATGGCAATATAACTTACAGCCACTGAACATTGTTGACAGTGTTTTTTGCCATCTTTGTACTGAGGGCTTTCATGTGTATCCAAGAGCAGAGGATGTTCGAAACAAGTGAATAAGGTGACAAGTTCATGCTATTCGCATGCTCAACAATTTCGTTACTAGTGTATATACATAGATCACTATTATTCCAGCAAGTGTAGCAAGAACTAGCGTGAAGTGACATACTTTCATATTTGTTGTAGTGTAGTTACAATATCAACACTTCTGAGCATTTTTATTTTGAGTTAATTATTATAATTTTAAAAGATGTTACTATTGTGATTGTATATGTTTAAACTAATTATTGCTGATGAATGTATGATGAAGTGTGAGTGAGAGATAGCTTGTTGATTAAATAATTTGATTGAACATTTACTGGAATTAACATACATTTTCATGCAACCAAACTAAAATTCTTCCACATCAATATTGGTACATAAAGAAACATCAGAAAATGTCAGCTGTGATGTTGATGTCAAGTATGCATATTAGAGAAATGGAAAAAAAAATCTTGATATCTGAAATAAAGTTCAGTTTATTCTCTTACTGGTCATTTATTTATAATCACTCATGTGATCAGTGGAATTAATTCGTCAGAATTTTCTTTCCCTGTTAGCAAGTGGTGCATGAAACCTGTAGTATTCATATTCTATATTTGAGTTGAAAAGTAGGTCTTTGTACAACATTGTAAGAATTAATTAGATGTAGCTAGAAAAATATTCATATAATGGTGTACCCTTGTAGCACAAATAATCCTCTTTGATGCAATTTTGTAATGTTGTATTTAATGAAGTATTTCATAAACAGGGTCACTGTATTGCGGAAAAACGTTTAGAATGCAAGAAAATAAAAGCATACATGAAAATGGATTGACATGTAAATACGAGTAGTTTTGATGCAAGTCTGCACCATAGTTAAACAAAAAGTTGAATCTTGATCTCCATGTAGCATATTTGATAAATAGGTTTCAGTTACTCAACTATCATTATCTAATAAATGCAAACTTAAGTGAAGACATGAATATTGTTCATTAGATGCCAACAGTTTAAATGATTTAAAAAATATGTCTTTGATATTAAATCATTAATTCTAGCAATTGGATGCAACAATTCTCATAATTTTTAGTTAAAAACTATTGCTAAATTACAAATTAATATTTGGTATTAAGACTTATGGTTATGGATATCACCTCTCCATTACATTAGTGTCTGCTCTTGCAAAGGGGTATTCAAGAGGCTCGTTAATGTCAATTATTATGGAGTCTGGCTTCTTTTAAGGCATACTGGGTGGATGGGATTTTCAACATTGTAAATAATAATTGACTTGTACCAAAAAAAATTTTGCCACTAAACTACACAAAATGTAGAGCACACACCCTCATAACACTATAATAAACTAAATATTTCAATAAAAACAGTCTTAACATGCTAATAGTATAATAATAAGTTGCTGTTTCATAAGGACTTTAGCATTGATGCACTGAGTATAAGATTTCAGTAGTACTCACACTATGAGAATAGACAAAAACACAAACTAATATTTGTATTTTCCAAAATCAAAACTGATTCATTGTTTTTGTATTTTTTCTGAGTTCCTGGGTATAAAGAAATTAGACACACCTCACTTGTCCATGGGATGCGTAGTTTGCTTTTTCAATTTCTGTGTGCTTTAGAAATTGGTAGTACTTATTCTAAAATGTAGACCTCAGAAACTGTGTTATCAGAACAATTTCTTGAAAATTACTTGGAAAATTGTAATGAATACTATATTGTTAAAACACTGAATTTTAGCTTTAGAACTATGATGAGATCAAATCATGTTGTAATGAAGCATAAAAAAGATGAGATCATTTCATACATATTTTGCAGAGCTTTGAATAACACTACTCATTGTCACTTGTTTTCTGAGCACTACAACACGAGTTACTTACTGTTAATAATAATTCGAGCAAAAGGTCTTAACCGGTTTTTGTATGTGTCTACTTAACTCTGACAGGAGAACATTTTCTGGTTTAAAAAACTATATAGAAAAACAGACAATTAATATATTTTCAAACACTGTACATTTATCACAATCTGTAATATCAATCATCTCTTCACAAAAATTGTAAGCAGAGTTCTAAGAAATTTTACCGCTTATTTTCAATAATAAAAGAATGATTATGAAGAAGCTGGAAGAAACATGTACTTCTTGGATAACAAAAAAATCCATTTTTCAAAGCTATCTTCATAAAAAATTAAGGCACAAATATCTGGAATTTAAATTCTCTTTCTCTGCAAGTTCCCTTTGACTGTCATTCATGATACAAGTAGAAACAATGTGCTTCTCTTTTTGCTTACATTTCATATTACTTAAAAATTATGAGACAATAATTACATAGATTTCACAAGATCTGACTTCTTTAATGAACTAACAACATTTTGCCAATACTACCTAATCCTCTTGTATATAACAGACTTCCTTCTTCAATATGATCCATATTTGCTTGTTTTATTATTCTCACACTTAACATCATTTCATATTTAGTAGGGCATTTCATCTAGTTACTTTAGAACACATTTTGTGCTAAACTTTACCTTTTTCCAATTATTTCTATCTTGCTGAAGCTGTTCAAGTAATCTCAATGGGAAAAAAACCCTTCACTGAACTTTCTAAATAAAGCAACTGACAGATGTTTCAAATCAAGTAATTCTGATGTTCTGAACAAGTTTAACTGACCCATAACATACATATTTTAACATTGAAACTAAATACTTCAAAATGTTCTCAAGAAGTACAAAGCCATATCTGATATGACTTGCTATACAACAATTATAAACAATAATTACATTACAAAATAAACTAGAATATTACATTAAATATCCATGATATAATTATCATGAAGTTTGACACAAAGGAACTATTTCTACAATGACTAATATACTTCCATTAACTCTCACTTTTCTTATGACCATGTTCTGGCATTAATAGAGTGATCAAAAACTTCCCTTTCTCAATGCATGCTACCATTATATGCAAATTATTTGTGTTAATTCTCCATCAAAAGCTTAGTAGTCCAGTCTGAATTTATATAATAGATATATAAAAAACTGGCCACCAAATTACTCAATTGGTTTCAGAAACACTAATATTTTGAGGTATATTACTGCAGTTAATACACATTTTCCAAGGATCCATATTTATTTTAATTTATTATGAAACAGTTAAAGCAATTTGCCATAAACGGCTTGCCAGCACAACTAGGAAAATTCAAAACATCAAGGAAATTGAAAGAACACAAATATTACTAATTTGAAGTCAAATTCAGTTTTAGTTACAAATAAATTTAAAGACTTTTACTTGTTCACTTTATACAGATGAATTATAAAATATTGAATGTGTAAACAAGTTAATATTTTTCCATCTCATTTGAAGAAGAGATGGAAGCAAGTCTGTGCACGGTGACAGGATCTGTCTCCCACCACCATACTTGCTTAAAGTCGGAACAAAATTCTTCAAAGATCATGTCAAAATAAGTTCAGGACCTTAGTCCTGAATTTATTTTGACATGATCTAGGTTGAATTTACTTCACTCCATACCTAGAATATGCATCAGCAAAAAAAACAAAGTATTCCCTAAACATTTTCATTTATACCCAGCTGTTGCTTTTTCACTGTGTCATGCGTTCACTGTTCACTGTGTTCCTGCTACATGGTGTCTTGTGAATCTCCTGCCATAATGTTTCGAGAGCAAATTTACAAAAGCAACTAGGCTGTTAACACTCGCACCAACTTGCAAGGGTGGGGACAGCTCTGACTGTGGGTAGCATTTTTTTCCCCACAGGCAATACAAACATTTTATCCCTCTAAACTATCCAAATTCAGCCGAACCATGCTGAATTCCTGCTGTTTTTTAATGAAAATTAATGAAACAAGTAAGAATTTTATTTGTAATTAATTTTTGTGAGAATATTTACTAAACAAAATAGTTTTTATAGTTGTGAGCTTTTTTCCCCCTCGGGGTAATAAAGTTAAATGAAAAAAGAATTAAGGATCTCTAAATTTACACTTTTTTAACTCATCTACTTTAAAAATCTTTTATCAATATTGAGAAAGGAAATAATTCAAAGACCATTTCACCCCTGCAATCTATAGATTGGATTCAGTTCTGAGCACAAGTTTTCTTGAAAACATAATTCAGTAATTCTCCAGGTCTTTTACTTGCCATTGGTTTCTAATTTTTGCAACTGTTTCAATTTCTTTGTATTATTGTCACACAGTATTGGATTAATATTAATTGTAATTACATGATAAATTGCAAAGCTCCAATTAATTTACCTTTTTAATACAATATTTTATATTTTTCGATTAAAAAAAAGGTCAAGTATTTTCAGTTTAAATATCTTTTAAAAGAATTATAACTTGCATGAATATTATTATTATTATTATTGGCCACCATATGATAACATTCTATCAAAACCATAATTCCTGAAAAAATGTATAATTCTTGCTGATATTCAAGACAATATTTTTTCCCCTAAACTAACCAGTAATAAAACATTATTCTTATCAAGTAAATACATAACTTTAATCCTGAATTACACAAGATCAGAGAGATAGAGCGGAGAAGATTACCATACATTACACAGATAAAATTTGCATGCACAATATTGGTTTGCATGAGATTTCTGTGCATAGTGTACATTTCTAAAAAAGTAATTGACTTCTGAACTTTTTGATCACGCTATTTGTTAGAATTGCAAAATAAAACTAAAAATTCACAAATATATAATTCTATAAGATAATTTATCTTTTCGGAGTTTTTCGAGCCTTTTGTTGTTGAAAAATGAGCTTCCCATTTTCTTTGGTGACTGTGGTACTAGGACCATTTTTCCAGCAACCTGAAAAATAATTTTATTAGTTCTGTTTTGTACATGAGCAATTTTAAGACAAGCAATTGAAACATGCATGTTACCTCTATGTTGAGGTTTAGGTGGTTTTGTTGATTTCTCTGGTACTTCAGGTCCTGAACTTCCAGAAGATTCTTCAGCAAAATATCTCAACATTAGTGCCATTTCTTCTTCATGTTCTTTCTGAAGCATTACTATGTGACGTTCTGCCTTCAAATGCGCTTGTTGGAGAGCATTACTAAGTGCTTGTATCTTCCACTTTTGAGATTCATTTTGAATCTGAAAATTTTATAAAGTGAACAGTTAAGATACAAAACAATGATATTTAACAATGATAACCATTGTCTTTTATTCCTGTGGTAATTTCAATTTTTAATTGAAAAAGAAACAATTGGTTTTTCTAATTTCTCTTCATGAACAAATGTTGTCAGGTCATTAAAAATGTTGTTATAATGAAATATGTTAACTTGTATTAAATTTATACCATTTATGAAAAGTTATTTTATTATATCATTAAAAATTGATTTGTAAACATTATCAATATGGAATTTTCCTCTGTTTGCAATAATTACATTCTTAACTTACATCAAGCTCAGAAAGTTGGATTTCCATCTTCTTTCCACTTTCCCTGAGATCAATAACTTTTTTGAAATATTTGTACAACAATGACCTCAGTTCCATAGGAGACAATTGCATTAATCTAGCCAAAAGTAGCTCTTCACCCTTAAATGGAAGAAGAGATTCACAATGAAATAGAGCAAAAGTAGTTGGGTAGGTAAATTTGGACAACTAGATGACAATCACACTTGATTTCTCTATGGGCACCTTTTCTCGTGGAACTTCAGAACTATTTAATTCTTGTGCATTCCTACCACAAATCAACTCATTTTTGTACTCAATAGCAGCATCAATTGCTTCTATGGCTTCTTCACACTCTATTAGCTTCCTCTCCTCCACATTGGACAAAGTTTTCTATTGAAAGAAAAGAGCACATACACCAATTAATTTTAGGGCAAATGTAAGTAAAATCAATATTCTGAATTCAACAACTCTTTTACCTTTTGAAATTTCTCATCCAAATTACATCTCTGATCTACAAGACAATCACGTGTCCGTCGCAGATTTCCAATCTCATGTCTTAGAGCTTCTTTCTCATAATCAATTCTCTCACAGTCTGCAGACTTCTCCTTCAACACTTGATGTAACTGAGATATTCTAGCACTCACTTCACTGATATTCTGAAATAATATATTTAAAAGTATTTTAATTTTTAATCTTGGCTGAAGGCAATAAATCATTCAATTAAAAGTACAAACAAATGGCTCTTCAGTACCAACGAATGTCAAGTCAGTGAACAGTAACTTTTCAATTGGATCAAAAATCACCTCATACATTGTACCACTTTTATTAAAAGATCTGTACCAATCACTCTCTAGAATAGATTATTCCTGACAATTCTGCTTGAAACAGTGCACACGCATACAGAGAATGTGACCACTAAGAATTCAAAATAGCAACAGCTCTAAAATAAGCCATTCAAATAGTAATGAAACACAGAAATAGATGATGCATTGCTCAAGCATCCTCTCAGTAAATGCTCCTATCTCAATACAAACAATATACAATATATTTTCAGAAATGGACATTGTGCATTCAAAATCAATGGGGCAAATTATTAACATACATCACAAGCATTAAATATTTTGTAATTCTCAATTTAAGAAGCTATTTTTGAATTAGAACAAGGTATTACTCAAGCAACATTTACATGCCAATCTTCAGCCTAGGAAATTCCAATTCTGTCACCAGTCAGATAACCAACTGCATTTATTCTCCCAGCTGTTGAAAAAATATGGCACTACTTGAAACCTTTCAAGGAATTTTTAATACATTTTGTTGAATCATTGCTCACACTATCTCACACTTACATCCACATAGATATTTTGTTACAACACCTAGCCTATTAAGAATTTCCTGTTTATACTTCAAATACTATTCTTGGTCTATTTGAAACAAATATTTTCCATTATAAAAATTTGATAATCACGCAATGATGAGACAAAAATATCACACCTTATCACTTACTATTATTAAGACATACCTTTGTCTTGCTCTTTTCTAGACAGAGTCGTTGTTTTAGAAATGCTTCTCGTCTTTCAAGCATGATTTGTTTTTGAATTAACTGTTCTTGGAATCTTTGAGAAGACTCACGCATACTAAGAACACGTTCTTCTTCTTCTTGAATCCATTTTAAACGACACTCAGCCTTTTTTGAAGTTTTATCCTAAAAAGCACATTGATATTCACAACAGATATTTGGAACATATATTTAAGAAATTTTTTTAAGTATAAGATGGATGTTTTAACTTGCATTCATCTCAAATGTGTAGATTGCTATTCTTGTTGGTAGCCACAAAGAGGATTGTCATGTTTATTTATTCATAGTTACAGGCAGCAGTTATTTAACAATTGTGAAAATGCTGGTAAAAGTTAATATATTGTGAATTGGCATATATTTCCACAAGGCAAGTACAAACGTATGTTTAGTTTTTATAATAGTAAAGTTTTCTATTTGATTGCCATTAGGCTTTACAGCAGCAGACGAAGCTCAGGCAACATAAAATACAGCTGGCCAGAGTAAAATTATGATTAATAAATTATGATAAATTAGGCTAACACACCAAGATATCCATTCATTATCCAAGATATTAATTTTATGTTCACAAAAAAATTAATGCCCCCTAGAACTATACAAAAGTACATAATAACTGAACTAACATAATACATGAAGAGTATTAATGCCCACTGGCAAACTATTTAACTTTTGTTTGAATACAGTAAAACCCCCCTTTTATGTTCGCAGAACTTACATTTTTCTGCCTTGCACCAATTTCTTACCAATCCCTTCAATACTCCTGTGTTCACAATGTAAAACCGTCCCCACGTTTACACTCTTGGAATTAAAATTTTCCTATGTTTACACATTTTCTCCCTGACACACACAAACATAAAGGATGGCTAATGATCTTGTATGTTTGTTCCCCCCAAGGCATAGAAATATTCAACTGTAATCAGAAAAAAAAAGTCGAATTACCAGTGTTGTTCTGAACTAGGAACTATCACTTTGAATCCTATTTTGAAAAGGAAGGGAAAATTATTAATGTATGTGGAATGCATACTTTTTAGAAATGTTTCATGGATTGCTGACCAATCACTGTTAATACGCAACCTAATAAATGAGCACTTCACTTCCTATTTCGCTATGAGAGAGTCTGCAATTCTGCAACAATCAGCAGCAACTGATGAATTTTTGTTTCTTAATCAAATGATCTTGTTGAAACAATCACAGATAGTGACTCATTATTTAATGCTTTTTCCCTTCTCTCAAAAGTAGGTTTACTGGGTAGTTACTACTATTATTACTTTCTTTCAAGATATAATGCATTCATTTTTGGTGTATGGTTTCAAAAAAAAGGTTGAGTTCATTTGATCATAAGAATTAGTGTATTTTGAAGTGCAAGACCAAAGAACCCCAACGACTTTCCTTTAAATTATTCAGAATTATAATGAATTCTTTGTTTTATTGTACAATCAAAAGTAATTTCCTATCATTTTTCTTTGATTTTTGGAAACATGAAAGGTGCAAAACAGGATTTTTACTGTACATTTGGGGGTAACAAGAGACAGTGTGATGAACACTTTGATAAATTACATTTGGGTGTTTAACATGCTATTAAAATTACATCATTTTCAAAAGCAACTATCATTAGGCTTGACTAGAAGGGAGAAAAACAAGCAAAGCACTTTCCCTTCCACTTCTTGTTGATTTGTGCCAGCACATGCCCAACAGGCATAAGAATCTTTGTAAATCAAGCTGGATATTATGATTTCTACTTTGTCAACTTAAAAAAGTTCACACTTTCAAATTTATTTAAAAGAGCATACCTTTGCATGTTGCACACTGAACATATACTTCTCTTCTAATTCTCTAATTTTGCATTGATCTTGTAAAAGTTCCTGCTCCAACATATGTTTGTACTCTTCCTCTTTCTTTAATTGTTTCTTCAGGCGATCCATTTGGCATCTTGATTTTTGTAAACTATTTTCTAGTTCTAACATCCTTCAAAACAAATGTGCATATACAAATATAAGCTTCTTATTAGGACAAAATTTCAATTATCTATTATGGATAACTTAGCATTCTCAACAATATAATTAAAAATATACTTATAGAAAACTCACTTTCTAGCACTATTTTCTGCAATCTGTTTCATGATTTCAATGTTTTTTAAGCGCTTCTCATACAGAATTGCTTCACTCTTAAATCTTTCTATTTCCCTTTGACATTTTACTTCATCATCCTTCAAATTATTTTCATGAGCTATCATAAGATTATTTTCTGCTTGAGCAATAAGTGTTCTTGTCTTATAGTATTCACTTTCAAGTTTAATACGTTTTCGTCTAAATCTTTGTTTAGCTGTTGCTCTCATTTTATCATTCTTCACCATATTTTCTATGAATTGCTCCTGTAAGAAACATTTAGAGTTATTAGATTTTTTCAACAAGGTGTTCAATATTGTTTCCTTTTCTAAATTCAATGATAAACATAAGATTAAATACAACAAGAAATTGTTAAAACCTGTTTAGCTTTCAAACAATGATGAATACTCAATATGCTAGCATTGCATATGTCTTGACATGTTTCCAAATTTTAAAATGAAATACTTTTACTTCCAATGCATCCAAGCCAGCTGTTTCAATTGGAGTGCTGAGATATTAAAATAACTGGTGTAATCAGAACATCATCAATAAAGTAAAATTCAAAATTACTTTCAGTTGTATGGTCCGTTGAAGTTCCTCAATCCGTCTCTGAGCACCTTCTAAATCGATGAGGACTTGGCACATTTGACTCTGCTTGGCTTCATTTCCTGCTGACAGCATACGCAACTCCTCACTTGGACCAGGCTTCACATCTTGCAGGTACGGTATGTAAGGCAAAGCTGTGGCTTCCTCCTCCCTTTTTTCTTGAGATGACTGATCATTGTTAGTGGATTTATTTTTCAAGTTACTGCTTGGATTTTCATCAGATGAACCACAGTGAGCATTCTGAAATCATACAAGTAATTCACAGACAATAACAGATAGAACATTTTATAACAATAACATTCTTTATCCTTCCAATATCTTTTAACAGTAAAAGTACACACCACTTCAAAATTTGAACATTTTCTTGAATTAACTACCTTATTACTGTATAAAAATTTCCAGTTTGGTTTTTATTTGTTTATTTAATGTCAAAAAAACAGTGACATACTATGGGGAGAAGTGCAATTTGCACAGTTCCTTGAGCTCTGGAATTTCTGCAACTCATACACATTAAGTTATTTATGAATGCTGATACCAATGAGCATTTTTGGCAAGTTAGTAGGAAAACATTGCTTTCCATGTAACAAAAACTATTTGCAAAGGCAAATCAGGTACCTATTTTAGCTTATCTTGCTTTTAATGATGGAATTGACATACTGTCTTGAGAACATGGAGAATGATTATTTAAATAACTGCATTCCCCAATAAGTTCAAGGAAATGGGTACAGATTGTGAAGCTTCATTTAAGTCCACAAGCAAAACCAGGGTCCATCTCAGCATTTGCTCAAAAGACCAGAGAAATTGAATGAAAAATCTGATGAACATAGTTCATAATAAAGAGAGTAATTACTATGATAGGTATATAGAGTAAAATATCTTTCACGATTCATACATCATAAATGTGTCCAAAGACCAAAGGGGTCGGCAACACACTGGAAGAAGACTAGGGTATCACTACAGTACACACTACAGTATTCAAACAGATGATTTGAGGAGCAATAAAAATCAGAATTTTTAATTACCGTTTTCTCATGAAGAGTTTTAAAATTCAACTGATTGACTACACTTTCAGCTTCTGTGCCAGGGTGAATACTTTTGCGTCTTCTGGGTAAATTACTTCTCCCATACTGAGGGTTTTTTACATCTTGTGTACCCTTTTTACTTTCGGCACCTACAAACATTTGAACATCATTTAACAATAACCATGTTACAGAACAGACAAGTAGATCGATTCTAACAATACATTCAATACAAATTAACAAAAAGTGAATCCACTGTAGTTCACAAAACTTTGTAATGAATATACTTTTATCTTTTCTATTTATGTGTATGTAATTCTGACTGCCAAAAATATCAATACATATATATTTGAAAATATGAAATTAATTACAACATTACAATTCTATCCAATACATCTGTGTGAACAAAAGTGTTCACTACCGATGATAACCTAGCACAAAAGGAGCAAATTTTTGAAGGAGAAAACATAGTTGAATTAACACTCAGTTAATACATTACTATATTTGTTTGTAATCCCCTAATAAATTACACTGTGCTTAAAATTAAGGACAATGAAGTACAAAGTCGTTGAAAAAACAAAATGTGAATTTGTAACAATTGTTGCATCAATTACCTGCACCATCTTCAACATATGCTGAGGTCATCCTTTTCTTTTGAACATGAGTCATCAAATTAGTATTTAAGTGATCAATTTTTTCATCTGTTCTTGCTCTCAATTTACTCATGTAGCGATCCAACTTTTCAACAAAGTCAGGATTTTGTTCCAAGTCACTTTCAGTATCAGATTCATTTTCAAAACTATTATCACCAGGAGACTGTCTTCCAATATCAGAAGACTTCTCAGTTTTCAAATCAGATTCAGTTAATTCATCTGTAGGAATAGAATATATAGTATGCTCACTTTTGCATTAAAATGAGTAGTAGTGAAATTTGGCAAAATGAAAGTGAAACAAAGCCAAGAAACATACTAAGCGACAACATTTAGAATTAATCAATAAATCGATTTATGTATTTAAAAAAATCCTGCCTTCGAACATGAAAATGGCATTTAACATTACCTATTCTTTCTAGAACCCTAGCATTGCATCCTCGCAAACTTGCAGCATCGTCACTTGCTACACATTCTTCACATTCTTGTTTCAAACACAACCATCTTTCAATTTGATTTTTCTCATCATCAGACAAAAATTTACTTGTAACAAGCTTGCTGAAAAGATTCTCAGCATTTGTAACTAATTTGAGCCACTGAGACACAGCAAACTCCAACCTGTACACAGTATTATTAAATGCATACATTAAATACACACACGGAAAGGAAAAAATTAAGACAACCAAAAACCACTTCAATGTCATTGTGTAAACAATACAAACCCAAAAGTGTCTTCACTTCCAGTTGCATCAATGGTGAAAGCACCTTCTACTGAATCACTATAATCTGACTTAGGAGGTTCTGGGTAAAAGCTGTAGCCCACTTCACTCATCATATTAATTATATTAAGTACTATAGTTAGTCTTCTTTATATATACATGTACAAAAGGAGGTGTAATTTACTGGAAGTACACCAATGACTGGCAAGGAGAACTTTCACCTAGAAGAAAATAATAAGACATGTAAATCTTTATTACAATTTCAACAAGACAATAAATTAAAATTTATTTCCTACCGGGTCACTTCATTTAAATTAATAAACAATATATGTTTCACTCTTCTCCAATGTTCTACTCAAGGTACATCGTAATTTACAATATAAAGAAACAACGGTCAACCAAAACATTATCAACTTGAAAATTAAATCTATAGTCCAATAAGTCCACGCCAAAATTTCAACGATGTTTCCCCTATACACACGCTTCACACAAACAATCATATTTACACGAAATGTTTTGACCTGTCATTTATACAGTGTATCACTACAATAATCCAAAGTGCTTCGTAGAAGAAAGATGTATCGGGCTATGCGTATTTAAACAACGATGCGCGCTATCTAACGGAGAGCATGAGTGACTATACAGAAACGTGGATTTTGAAATCTTTGGATCTGGTAGAGAAGAGGATCTAAATCAATCTAAACTTTTGAGTTTTAGCTGAAGAGAGAGGGTATAATTCATCAGTAGTACTTAAAAAATAATAAAATACGTAATCCTTTAACACATTAAACAAGTATGAATGTTTTGTTGTTTTTTATTTAATTCATTTATGATTGAACCGGGAGTGCTCGCAATACATCTGCGATATTCAATTCACGGTAATTTTAAGTTCCTGAATGTTTGCGATGCATTAGACGTCTGATATTTCATGTATTCGTTCATTGTACTTTTCTGAGAACGCCTGGCCTTTTATTTTTCCCCTTCCGTTGAATAATTTTCCGTGAGCACGTTGAAACATGATCGCTGCGCGATATCGGTCAGATACGTATTAGCATACAGTCGCATACAGTGCTTGATACAGTGGCACTGATGCATTCTGCGCTCCTGGTGAATGCCGTACGTGCCATGGCATTATTTAGTTACAGCCGTGTCTATGAGAAGTGCTTACAGAAAATATAATCATTCGTCTTATCTACGATTGACTGTCACAATTTCTTCCCAAACAGAAAGATGATGTGCAGGGGACGTCTGTAGGGAAATGAAAAAAATGTGCACCTTGCAAAACGGAAACAAAACAGACTTTCTAAATATTTTTGGGAAAAATGTAAAATAAATGTTTGTTTAAAACATGTCCAAATCATTTGTGGTAATTGTATGTAATATTATTTAATAAGATAATAAGATGTTTAATGATTTTTGTGTTCTTTGTCAATGTTTACCTTTCTTACCATACGTACTCATAATTTCTGTAGTGTATGATTCATTAACAATGGCATTGGGGTACATGTACAAACTAAGTAAAATACATATTTCAGTAAATAGAGCTTCAGATCATTCACATTCTCAGAAAGTTGCAGCTATATCAGAGAGATATATTGCGGGTACTGGCGCAAGTTACTTATTGCGGGCACTCCCGGGTTAAATGAATGAATGAACATCTTTAACTGGCATTGTTGTTCTCTTGACGAAATTCGTAGAATCGTAATTGTTTGGATGTTGAGTGAAATGCTGTAATTTAGCAATTTCAGTAGAAAATTGGAGTCCACGATCATATTCAAGTCTGTTCCTGCCATATTATATGTACGTCGAATATTATTTCCATCATTTGCCCACGTTTACTCCATAGATTAACACGATTATTCCGATATATTCATTCATGTTTGCTCATAATAGTTCAGAAGCCTCTGGCCGAAGGGATGAAAGGCAGAGAGTTAAAAGACATACTTCAGAAGTCTTCAAGGAGGAATTCTCCAGGCATTCAATGTCCACGAAGGGCCTTTTTATAGAGACGGGTTACAAAGTACTAGTGGTGCTAAAACAGCACGTACTTTCTCGCCCGTACTTTCACGCAAAATTACGCGGAAAGTACTCAAATTTTCAAAATATTGTCCGTGACATTTTTTTAAGTGTCCCCCAAAATTAAAATATCGGTTTCAAATTCAAGGGAGAGCGACATCAGCCAGATTGATAGGGAAATATCAATTTTGGAGAAAATCGGCTGAACGCTTTAGCCATTAGCGTTGTTCAGACGGGCAGACGCACAAAGGTTTTGCCGTCATTCGATTTTTCGGTATCAAGGACCCTCAAAACGTGGATTCTGGCTACACCTCGTGTTAGAGGACATTTCCAAATTTGGCAACTGGATTTATTCACTTTTTCGTAACTAGCGCCCTGTTATAAGAGATTTTCTACTGACAATTCGCCATTTTTTCGCGCAGCTCTACATAACTTTCTCTTAATTCATAGCGAGAAAGTAAGATTGGGGAGATTTTTTAGAAATAAAAATAGAAATTTCATAAATTTCAGACACAAGTTACGGGAAATCTACAATTTTTTTCTCCAAAAAATTGTACAAGAGCTTTCCTAAAGAACTGATTTTTTACGACAGACTTCGTTTAAGGCAAAACTGTCTTATCTTCAGTTTTGTACTTGTGTAATGTTAGTGTTTTGCAATTTCCGACAATTTCCATTGAAAAATTCGAGTGGCAACAGCGTTTTTTTCATAAAAAAAATTAAAATTGCATTATTTCACAAAAAACTACACAAAAACAACTCATACTTTCAAAAAATTGAACACGTTCTTATCTAATATTCTTTTTTTAAGGAACAGATTTCATTAAGGGAAAAATATATATCTTCAATATTTATAGTTGTAGGAAGACGCTTAAAAATTGCACTTTTCTAATTTTCGAAAAATCTGGGATTTTAATAAATTTGAAACCTGTGCCATTCTCCTAAGCGTCCTTTACGCTATCACAGGGCAAAATTTGATCTAAAAGATTGGTGCCATTTTTGAGAAGATTTTGGAAATGTTCTTAAGTATTTGTGTAAAGTATTCTAAACAATCGAATTATTCAGTTGAAACTTCCGAAGCCTCGACCTTGTTTAGATCGATTGGGGGATAACAATTTTAGAGAAAACCGTTTAGGCGCTAGCGTTGACTACAGACGGAGAGACTAGTCTTGCCATCAATTGATTTTTCTGTTTCAAGGACCCACAAAACGTGGATTCTGGCTTCACCAGGTGTTAGAGGATGTACTATCTATCTATAAATGTGTCTTACGAAGGCCCAGCAATAAGAGTTTTTCTATTAAATTCAAAATTAAGGTACGATTTCTCTTGTGTCAAAATTTTCAAAAATATTAGAGAGACTTCTCAGGAAATTCGGAGCATTTTCAGGTTATCAAACAGTATTTAGAAAATCATCATCTACAAAAATATCTCTATTTTCTTTTCTGAAAAATATTTCATCAAAGAATTGAAATGAAGCAGCTAATGAAATATTTTCCAATTACTTGACGACATAGATCAGGGGTGAATAACTTGCAAGGCCACAACTACAACCTTTATGTTTGCGGGCCATATTTTCATTACTCGGGCGATCCACACCTGACTTCCCCGTATTGTTGATCTCAGCAGTTTGCTGGGCTGCTCTAAAACGGGGGAGTGGAGAATGGAAGCAAGCGTACCTTTCCAAGCATAACGCAGTGAAATTGGGAAAAATTGGGATGATTTCGAATTTCTTTTTTACTAGGAAAATATCCTTCAATCTAAACGTGACATATTTTTACATTGAGGGAGTGTTGACCCCGGCAAGGCGCGTGCACTACGTACACAATGCTCTCTCCCGACATGCATGCAAGGGACTTTCACTTTCGACTAATTCCTTTTTGCGGGCCACAATAAATGGCACTGCGGGCCGCATGCGACCCGCGGGCCACCAGTTGGAAACCCTGACATAGACTATGAAAGTTTGACTTCAGAATTACCTTTGTAATGTTGAAATTGTGATTTAGATTGGATATATTTATACATTAAACATCCATATCAGAGTAGAAATACAACACTGGAATGAAGAAATATTATTTACTCATCTTTAAGTTTGAGCATAAGCTTCCGCATGTTTTTTTAGGCCCTATCATTTTCGTAAAGGATATGCCCTCGTCGATTAGAAACTGAAGAACAGTTATCTTCGTTGATGAAAAAAATGCTCTTTCCAAACTAGTGATGCTACAACAGCACGTACTTTCTCGCGATATTGTTAATGGTTTTGTAATATTAAAATATGACAACTTCGATCTTAACACTTCAGCGAACATTTGAAAAATGCTCAGAGGAAAGAAACGCGAAAAACAAATTTTTTTCAAACGTTTAAACGAAAATAAATTTTTGCCATTGAATTCAGTATTTTCACATTCTATAGAAATGTATTTTTAATACCAACTATGCGCGATGCCTATTTTAGCTGTAAATAATATTATTTGTTTATATTGCAACAAGCAACAGTGGCCGCTAATTGGTATTAGATACACATTTATCAAATCAGCATTTTTCATACCGGTAGCAACAAAATAAAAATGGACAGAAAACTATAATAATTAAATATAATAATGTTATATTAATTAAAACTACTCGTTTCACACGAAAATCTCGACATTCCCACATCCCACATCGTAAATGTAACTTCAAATTAATTTCTTCCCATCGCACGTCACACACAGTTTTTAACTTTTTTGACGTAAATAAATAAATAAATAAATAAATAAATAAATAAATAAATAAATAAATAAATAAATAAATAAATAGCTCTAAAATTATAGACACAGAATAATTCAATTCCATATTTTAAAATAACTGCGTCGCATTTAATTGAAAGGCCGACCGGATAGATATCTTTAATGCTGTAATAAAATGTAAAGTCAGATATCGTAATCAGCAAATGGTCGTTAGAAGATCTGATAAGGAGACCTTGACGAAGGCTGAACACAAATTGTCTCAAAGAATCGCAAAGTCTTATCTCAGAATAGAAAGGAACTCATAGTTACCAAACTGAAAATTCTTCACTTTCATAACATAGGCAATTCTCGAGAACAAAGTGTTGATTCTAATACCGCTTTCTAATTGTGTGTTGTGGGTCATTCCAATGTTAAGTCGAACACCAATTAATCTTGACTACTCAGATGTCGTTGTAATTTTTTATGTCAAGTATGATTAATTTAATGAGGCCAATCTGTTCTAGTTTTTTCAGTGTCTATACAGTTTCAAAGTAACAATTTTTTAAACGTTTGAGCATAACGGCGCATCGATAAAGTCACTATTGAAATTATAACATGCAAACTTCCTCAAATAACATGCAACGGCGACTGAGTGAGTCCTCTGCGATGCAACAAAGATTTCACTGTTAAGAAATGAAACTCTCAGCAGGCCATACTGCTTGACATATTGCACTCCCTGAAGGATTGTTTAGAAAACTTCGCGAATTTTTCCCTGGGGCGGTCGTCGCAGGGAAGTACGACTGTTTTGCAGTGGGTCCAATGCGCTCGAGAACATCAGTTATTTTCATCTTAATTAA